TTTTTATTGTATGTAATATATATTTTTTGTATATTATTTGAAATTTTTTTTATGATAACAAGTTTGCTTATTTATCAGTGCTTAAGGATGATTGAATCTAATTTGTGCTTGATTAACATATTTTTAATTAATTCAACATGCGTTTTAATTAATTTTATCTTTCTGTACATAAGATATTGTTATCAATGAAATAAAAATTATTTTAACAAACCTGTTCTTTATTTTAGTTTCTAAATATTATACTTTCTACTGACAAGAAAAAATTTTTTTTAATTTTTTTTTTTAATATTATTGTACATAGTTTTATTAATTCAATATTTTTTATGAATTTAATACTTTTATTATTATATTGTATTATCTATAATTTACATATTTTTCTATTTACAAATAGTTGGAAACAAAGTTGTAGGAGGTGTAACTGGAAACAACAATAACAATAATAATGTGAATCCACCACTGACACCATGCACAAGAATACTAGCAATGAATATGATTGGTGATCTTATGAGGAAAGTTGGTGTAAGTATAATCATTATTTTATACACACACATACACACACATACACACACACATATACATTAGTATTTCTGTTTTAAAAGCACTTGATATACAAAAGTAGCTTAAAGCATGGCTTGTTTGAATTTTAAATGTATTTAGTTGCTATACATATATTTTAGTTTTTCATTGCAATTAATTTATAAAATTTATTTTCCTTTTATTTTTTTTCTAAGCAAGAAATTTTATATAAAATATTTTTATATTAAAATAAAATAATTCAATTCAATTTATATAAAATGCTTTGATAATATAGTGGTTAAAGACATCTGTAGTATGATGTAGCTGGTATTTTGGTAGCTTGACAGATGGGTCTGCATGGAGTGCAGAAGGGTAAAGTGCACTTGTCTGGGTGAGAAAAATACAATTTCCACTACACCTACTGATTTACCATCCATCCAGGTTCATACATCTCCTCATTGTATATGGCAACAACCTAGATCAACCAAGTGCTGATCAAGTTTTTGTGTACAGGTCTTTATTTGATTTCTTTTGCTTTATACTGCATTTTCTTCTGTACACATCACGATTTTTCTGCTTTAAATTATTGTACATGTAGATGGTATCATCAGTTCTAAAGATTTGTCTTAAAATATTCTTAAAAATAATAATAATATTTTAATTAACAACAAATATTTCATTATATAGGCATTGGAGAATAAATTAAACACATGTCAAAATCCATCTCGAGAGGATCAAGCTGTCCGTGATCTTTACAGGTAACATTAGAACAATATTATAATCATAAAAAATTGTATCATTGTGCATTGTGTGTATTTATAGCAAAAAAATATCATGTATCAAAATTGAAAATGAATTAAAAAAAATTAATGAATTTTTTCTAATGAATATTCTATTTAATAAAATAAATGAATTAAATTAATTCAATTATTCATAATTGATAATATCATTTAAAGTGATACATGATAGTCAATAAATTACTTATTAGTTTTATGTTTATTTTTACTTATGTAATATTTTTTGTGAATGTTCTATCAATTTATAAATAATGAAAGCTTTTTATGATCCCAGTCTTTAGCTTTTACTAAAATATTCAAAATATTTAAAAAGATTGCATTATAATTTTTTATAATAGCTCATCTTATTGTTTGCGTTACTAATTAAAATGAAATATTTTGTTATTTTATGCAAATTCTTATTGTTAATAATATTTTCAATTAATAATATCATATCACAAAATGATAAAAAATAAGATAAATTTTAGAGATTTTTTATATTATAAATATTAATTTTATTTTCTGATATTTAATAATTCTTCTTTAATTGAACTTCATTCATAATATATCTATTATATATTAATTTAAATGTATACTTAATATAACAAATTTACAAATAGCATATTTGTGAAAGAGTACAATACATCATTTTTATTGAATCTACTAAGATCTTAATAATCAGACTTCAAAAAAAAAAAATTTTAAATAACTTTAGCAATCAATTTAAATATTTTGTAACATAATTAAATTAATTTAAAATTGTATGTTTGAAATAATATTTCTTTATAAAAATTAATAAAGACTTTTTATAATTATTAAGATTTTTAATATGCCAGATTAATATTTGTTTTAAATAATTCTATTTAAGTATTAAATATATATAAAATAAAAATTCATTAAATTAATTGTTATTAGTATGATATATAAGACGAATAGATATCAAATTATATTGATTTATGTCATAAATATATCATAAATAATTTTTAGATATAGAATTAAATCAAATTTTTGATTCTAATCTGCATTGCAATTATTAATTTGACTATAGTCCAATTTTAAAAACTAAAATGAATAAAAAAAAGTCTTAAGTAAAGAGAATTTTCCAATTTATATTTTTTATATGTTATGAAATAAATATAATTTAAGAATTTTTCATATTATTAAAAAAAAATTCGTTTAAAAATTGTATTTCGCCAAGTTATAAAAATAATTATAACTTTTGTGAAAAATTGCTAGATTTTAATAGAAATAATAAATTTTATATATTATGAATTAGAAACAAATTAAGAAATTTATATTTTATATCTTATACATTCTTGTATATAACAATTGTATATATTTACTAAAAGTGAAAAGTAAATTTGTGCAATAAAATAAAATATTTTTATTGAATTATGATATCAGCAATGCAAAGTGCTTAATATAAATTATAATAATTAATTTTGCTATTTCTATTTTTATTATTAATAAAAGAATTGTTATTTCATAAAAACAATATGAAATAGAATTATTAACAATGAAATTGTATAATTTATAAGATATTTATGATTTAACTTAAAAATATTTTAATGTAAAAATCAAAATAATATTTTTTGAGAATTATATTTTTAGTTTGATATTATTATTATTTTTTTTATAATTAGAGAATTAATTAACAATTTTTTTCTAAAACATTTAATATTTTCGCATAATGCATTGTTAATTTATATATATATATATATATATAAAACATGTTTTTATGCATGATTTTTACGTGTCATTTTCTTTTTGTTAATCATATCCATAAATTGTATACAATAAAATTATCTAGTATGTTGTATTAAACTACTTGAATAATTAAATTTGCATAGCATAAAATTGTTATTCATTATTGTGTTCAAATTATAAATTAATATAAAATATTTAATATAAACAGAGTTCTAAGACTTATCTTAGAAAAAGCAAATATTGAATTATAATATATTCAAGATATTTTTCATATTTTTTCATATTATACAATTCATGCATATTGCATAAAAAGAGCATTTCTCAATCACTTACTGTGTTTTTATTGTTATAATAATCTATATATAATTTAATTTATTAAATAAATTTATTAATTATTATCTAAAAGTATATACAATATAATCAATTTGATATGAAATAATATAATAAGTATTATTTTAAAAAATATTTTTAGAATACGATTGGGAAACGCTGATCTATGTGTATAAATATATGTTTTTATAAATTATTTTTGTAATGGGAACTGGTAACAAAACAATATTAAATTTTTTTAATTAGGACTAGACGTCAAGTTCGAGGTTTTGCCTCTGGCAACTGCAACCACATTCGATTATAAACAACGGATAATATTCCAACAAAAATTTTGTGCATTATATTTGTAAGGCTATACATGTTATTTAACCAAAAAAATCTCATTTGCTAATTTATTATAAATCTGTATGAAAAACGATATCATTTTAATCAATTTATTTATTATTATTATTCTTCGTTTAATTATTTAATTTTTTTCATCAAGTTTGTGATTTTTGAACATTTTTCTACAATTTAAAAATATACCTGGCAATATTTTATGGAAGAAATTTGTAAATAAACATTCGAAATTGTAAGTATTAATATTGCGATTTAATAAATGATTTAATAAAATTAATATTGTGATAAACAATAATTTTAGATAAGTGTTATAATTATGTTGTATAATAGATAATATTTAAAAATGATATTAAATGAGAATATTTAAATGAAAATCAATACTAGTTTTTTTTTAGATAATATTTTATAACTATTTACTTTTATGTAACTTTTTACATTGATTTATTTAAGAATTATTCAATTTTTATAAATATTATAAAATTTTAAAATATCTTGTAAGTTGAAACTGAATGTTTTTATATTAATCAATTAATTTGATAATTGTAATTTTTTGAAAATAATTTTCTTATTGAAAAAAAGAAAAATTTATACAATATTTTATTTGAAAAATAACAAGTAACTGATTTTCATTTGATTGTCATTTTTTAAAAAGGCGATTTGTGATCTTCTGTTTTGAATATATAATTTTAATATAATTCATGAATGCATGAAAATTTCAACATTAGAAATATTTAGAAATATTATATCATTTATAAAATTATAAAAATCTAGCTTTTATAGAAATTTATGGCAATATATATATATATATATATACATATATATAGATATATATCTATTTTTTAATAACAAAAAAATATCCTCTTGTATTGTAAAACAATTCAATTTTATACTTTAAAATATATAAAATTATTATTAAATTATATATGTAATTCAATATAATTGTGCTCTTTATGCCATTGCATAATTATAAATAGTTTCAAATAAAATATTTGTATAATGTAGAATTTATTATAACAATTAAAATTTAATCATATTCAATATTATCAAATGAAATGAAGATTAATAATTTATAGATTTCACTTAATGCATGAAATAAAAAAAATTATTCTAATACTTTTGATTAGGTAATAGCTGAATAATTGTAAACTTGAACTTTTGATGATAGTAAATTATGCAATATTTGTAATATTTGTAAAAGTAAAATTGAATAATAAAATTGTAATATTTGTAAAATAAAAATATTGTAAACTATCAATTGATGCAAAATTATGATTCCTAGAACTTACTATTTAAATAACAGTGCAGATTTCTTATAAAATGGAAAAAGGTAAATTAATATTATTTTGAAGATTTATTTAAGAAACGTTTATCTTTACACGAACAATGAATACTTGACTGATTGAAATATCTTACGTAATTTTCATACAACCAGAGTTCTAATATGATAAACACTACATTGAACATACTGTTCCTACAAAAAAAGTGCCTTATTCTCTAATGTACATTTCACTATGTATTGTATCAATAATGATAAGGATGATGAATATAATAAAATTGTAATGAGAAACTAAACATTTTCGATCTTATTCAATCTTAAAAGTACTTTTAGAAGAATTAACAATTGTCTTTTATCACGATTATTTAACTTCCGATTTTAGGTTTCTTTTTATAAGTATTCTTACTCTGTAAAATGTAAAATGACGAAAAAAAATGAAATTAAGAAATTAGCAATTATAATTGATAATTTTTGAAAAATAATATATAGTCTATTTTTGTATAATACCAAAAGACGAAAACTATCTATATCAAAAACAGTTGAACCAATTTTTGTATCAATTTTCCAGAAATCTGAATTTTAAATACATGTTATAAAGGATGATCATGTCATAACTCATACATTATTATGGAGTACAACATAATATGTAGTTTGGAATGAAAATGTTTCATCCATGATTGTTACGAATGATAATAATAGTAATAAATGGTATGTATGGGAGTTACATATTGTTTAAGCACGCTCGCCACGGATTCGTCGGGCCAACTGGATATCCTTGGGCATGATTGTAACACGTTTCGCGTGAATAGCGCACAAATTTGTGTCTTCAAATAAACCAACCAAATATGCTTCTGAAGCTTCTTGTAAAGCTCCAATTGCAGCACTTTGGAAACGAAGATCAGTTTTAAAATCCTGTGCAATTTCACGAACCAATCTTTGAAAAGGTAATTTCCTGATTAACAATTCTGTTGATTTTTGATATCTTCTGATTTCTCGAAGAGCTACTGTACCAGGCCTAAAAATGACATTTTATTTTATATTTATATATTATATACTAAATAGTATTTATTATTACTATTATATATTATTTAAAATCTACCTATATCTATGTGGTTTTTTCACACCACCAGTAGATGGTGCACTCTTACGTGCTGCCTTTGTGGCTAGTTGTTTACGAGGTGCTTTACCTCCAGTTGATTTACGAGCTGTCTGCTTAGTACGTGCCATTATTCACTCTGAAATAATATAAATTTGATTAAATTCTCTTAAAATTTAAATTTTAAAAAAGCATATTTTTTTATAATTAAATCAAATTAAAAAATTATAATACGATATGAATATATGTGAAAAAAATATGTGTAAACAAATTTCTCAATTTTATTCATCACAAAAATGATCTCCAAGAAAAAACAAACGCGGGAAAAATTATTTTAAAAGGTATACTTGATAAATAGAGTAAACTAAATTCTGGAGTGGGAAGAAAAGAATGGTGGGGCAATGAAAGTGGGGGTATGTTCCGTTGCTGTTCGTGCAAAGGAAGCGCGCACCAAAGAACGCTGCGCATTGCGCAATGCACAAACTTTCTTGCACCGACGCGAATAAAACCATGCTAATAAGAAAAATGTATCATCCTAACTAGCAAGAATTTCTTTATCTTCTAATTATCCCACTGATAAATAGGAAACATAGTTTATCAAATGAGATTAAACGAATGACACTCGCCATGAAACAAATCGAAAGCGTCACTTCCGAGAAAGGATCATGAAGCGATTCCCTCCACGAACGTCAATTGCAAAATGGAGGCAATACGATAGTACGTCGCGTTCGAACATGAAAACTCGAATTTTCCAACACTTTTCACATTCATTAATACACGTTGTATTGTCCATATATTTGCTGATACTAGTAATCACACATGATCGTAAATGAAATGCAATTTTGATAAATTTACATACCACTTAAAGAAAAAATTCTACGAGAAGCAAGAGCTAGCACTATCCGTTTCCTTGTACTTCGATGGCAGTGGACGCTCTCCCAAGTCACGACTCCCTTGTCCCTACCCCCTAGAAATTAAATCGTGAGAGGCACGTAAGCCCGCGGTGCAGTGCATCCAATCGGAGGTCGGATAGCAGTTGAGTTTCAGAATGTAGCACATGCGATTGGCTCAACCTCCTACGCCTAGATTGCGAACCAAGAAGGACCCTGTCAATTGTAATATACATGATACTTCTCGGCAACCTCGTTTTACTTGTATCGTTATAATTGCTATCCTATTGTTTTTCAAATTAATGAAATTGATAGATATTTTATTATAAAAAACATTTATTATAAAAATCATAGCATATCAAAAAGAATTTCTATGATCAACAATCAAATCTATGTTAAAATTTATATATCTGCATACATTTTTCATGACTTTTATCATATAATTCTATCTGCAATGAAATCGGTTATTTCGTGGAAACCTCCAGAAAAGTATGCAATTTCTATAGAACATGACGGATACGTCATCTCGATAATTATTAAAATAGCAATTTTTATTTGTTATTTAGAATGAATACATTTTTGATTAAATTTAAATAATTATTCTCAGAATTAAAGTTTTATCTATATTTTCTACTCAGAAAAAAATAAACGCCATTATACATCTAAATGTAAATAATATTATGTATTGATGTTAAATTAGTAAAATTATTGAATTTTGGCGCTTTTGTCAATTGAATTTTATAACGGAAATAGTACAGTACTAAACAAAATTAATTTAATAACTTTTCTAATTTCAGAAAACATTTTAATAATTAATTAAATATTTTTATTTTAGTAAAAAAGTGTATAAATTACGTAAAAACATGTATATAAATTTATATCAATCATCAATCATCATCAATGATTTAAGTTAATGAATTTTTAATAATTTCTTTTGGTGTTTATCATTATATATTTATAAAATACATGTCATATTTGTGTTTACATAAGAAGATAATAAAATATTAATAATTTTAAAATATATTATTTAAATTGGTGATAATCTTTATAATCTTTATAATCTTTATAATTACTATTTAAATTAATTATAATTACTGTATCAATAGTATGTGTGATATAAGTAAAAAGCTTATTAAAAAAGAAAGATTACTAAAATTCATTAAAAATATTAATTTAAAATTATGTTAAGAAAAATAAAAATTAAAGAAAATAAAAATGTAAGAATTTTATGAAATAAAAAATTTTATTTTGAAGAAAAGTATATTTTTAATAATCTATATTACTTATCAAAATTTAAGTAAAATTATTTCTTTAAAGAATAAACTTAATTATTAAAAAATTTAATATTATATTTTAATAAATATAAAAAAAAAAATAAAATATAATAAAATATATTAAATAAAATATACTCATTTTTTTGGGAAGATAATTCAAGTTAAATTTATTAAAAAATTTGTATAGATCATTTACATTGATTTAGAGTTATGAATTATTTTTTTATTATTAATATTTATACTAACATAATGATAAGCTAATTAACAATGAAATATATTTTTATGCTTAATGGCATATTAATTTCATTTATAAATATAAGTATATATATATATAAATCAATTTTGATAATTTAGTAATTTAGTAATACAAATACAACTAACTATATTTTCACATTTAATTGAATAATAGAAATATTTTGTTTTTTTTTTTTTTTTTGAAAGACTATAGTACTAAGCATATTATGATACTAGTACATAAGAATTCTTATATATTAAAAATTTGATCTAACCTAAATTATAAGTTTAAACTTGACAATAACATAGAAAATTATATTTAGAAACTATGTTAATCACAAAGTAAATATAATAATGAATATAAATGATTTTCATTTGCAAAACATTAAATCTACATTATATTGCTTATATTGTGTCGCTTATGTTATACTTATTATTATATATAATACTAAAATATGAATTATACATATAAAGTGATATTATTATTTGTTATGAACTACATACTCCATTTTCTGCTTTCTGCTTTTTATATTTGTCTATAATTAAATTATAAATGTATTTAACTACACTACTTGATATGATAGTTAAATATATTTTGTCTCTGCATTTTTATAATTCACAGGACTTGGCAGTGTTTATCTATAATTAATGACTTATGAAAAAAAAAGAGATTCAGTTACAATGAATTTGATTGCAAGAATATTCATAAATACAATAACAATATAAATTCGACAAAAGAAAAATTCAAGAGATCTGAAATATGAATTATTTAAGCACGTTCACCACGAATTCTTCTTGCTAACTGAATATCTTTAGGCATTATTGTAACACGTTTAGCATGAATTGCACATAAATTTGTATCTTCAAACAATCCAACTAAATATGCTTCAGAAGCTTCTTGTAATGCTCCAATTGCAGCACTTTGAAATCTTAAATCAGTCTTGAAATCTTGTGCAATTTCACGAACTAAACGTTGAAATGGTAATTTTCTAATCAGCAATTCTGTTGATTTTTGATATCTTCTGATTTCTCTAAGTGCTACAGTACCAGGTCTATAATACATAAAATTATCAAAATTATAATAATAATTCATTATAATATTATAATTAAATTTATAATATTTTTACCTATAACGATGTGGTTTTTTTACACCACCCGTGGATGGTGCACTTTTACGTGCAGCTTTAGTTGCAAGTTGTTTTCTAGGAGCTTTACCTCCTGTTGATTTACGTGCAGTTTGCTTAGTACGTGCCATATCTATAAAAAAAATTATTGTTATAATATAAAATTATTTATTTTAATATAAATAATTTATATATAAAATATTCTTAAAAAATCAATATTTCTTAAATAATAATTTTTTTATAAAAAAAATATCAAATCTTTTTAAAATATTAAATATTTGTTTAAATATATATATTAAAAATATAATTAAATTATATTGTAAATTATATTATAAAATCAAATTTATTGTAAATTATAATCAATGTAAAATAAGATCCGGTTTCCCTCCAAAAGCAGACACAATAAACAAAATGGCGACTAGCGTGCATACAGCATTGATGTATATAGAAATTTATTATTAAACTATAATATTTTTCAATATAAAAGATATCATTTATATGTAATATAAATAAATAATAAGATTTATATTTATTTTACTATGTTCACTTGATTATAAAGTCAAATATACATACCTTTTTCTTAATCGCTTTGTAACAAAATCAAGAAATGCACTTTTTCGTCCAAAGATATCAGACTTTTGTCGGTTAGTGTTTTTTCAGAAACATAGTTTGGTCTGTGAGAGATAGGAGACAGCACTGATTCAGATACATATCATATGATTGGTTGATATTTCATAACATTGTTTGCCATTAGTTAATATTTAACGAATAAACATATTTGTTATGGAACTTATAAATTCATAATTATTTTAATAACATTACGTACTAAGTATCTTAAATATTTCAATATAGATGTAACATCATAATGTATGAATCATATATATATATATATATATATATTATAAATATGTAAAATATATTCATATGAAATTTATGTATTTATATGAATTATATTTGATATGTATAATATAACTCATATTTATTAATACATTTATATCTGAGTGCATTGATCTATATAAATATATTTATTGTTTATTTTATTATTATATTTATTTATATTTATTATTTGTTTTATTGTTATATATGTTTACAAATTTTATATTTTATAAATTAAAAATATAAGTAATATTCCATAATGCATTATAATATTTATTAAGAACAAAGTTTAAATTAATTTTTATAAATATATTTTATAAATAAATACCTACATAGATACAAATAAATTTTACTTTCGATATAATAATTTTATAGAGTAATAATAATTATATAATTTAGAAAAAAAAGATAATTGATCTACTTAAAAATAAGGTTAATTAAATGAAAGAAAACTTTTAAAATTTATTTTTAATATATAAAAGAAAAAAACAAATTAAATTTTTTTAATAAATATAATTAAAAAATTATAATTAAAAAAATTCAATGAAAATTATTTTTAATTATTCAATTGTAAAAATAACAATTACTTTACTAACATCATGGTACAGAAATTATTAATGTAATTTATTTTTTAAATGATCAATTTTATTGATTTACAATATTTTTCTTTATAGTTCACTACCTAATAATAGCATAAGAAGCAATAATAAACATTCGTTCTACAAATTACGCCATGAGATAGTTATTATCTTTATATCTTCGTCAAAATTAATGTTATTCATATACATATATATATATATATATTCATATACATATATATGTATATATATATATATATATATATATATATATATATATGTATATATAAACTTTCAGTCATCAAGAAAATATTAAAACAAAATTTATTTACTAACATTCTAATTACAGCTATATTAATTTAAATATGTTATTTAAAATTGTATTGCCAAAAATACGTGTCATCAATATTAACTTTTTTTGTCACTTGCACATAAATGATGCTTTTTTTTTTTATTATTCAATTTGTACTGACATTCATTAGAATTTGTCTACACTCGTTAATGACAACGAAAACTTCTTACTGCATTTTATTACATTTTAATCTTTCTTTCGGTATGCGATCAGATATGAAATTTTTCGAGCATCATGCAGATACTAGTTATAGATACTATTATTGGTTTCTGAATAATTACATCAGTTTGGCAGGACATGAACATCAAAAATGCAAGCCCATATTACTTTTGTACTTTATAAAAATTTATGTGGAATGTAAAAAATTATGTCTATTATACGTAATATTACAAATAAAATAACAAAGCTTGATTTATTTATTCAATATTTTTGTTCTCTTTTAAATAAATAAAATATCTTACTATACAATTTACTTAAACTCAAATTTAAAAAATTGATTGTATATCATATACAAAATATTAAATGATGTCTAAACAATTTTTAGTAACTTTAAGCTTGGATTTTATGTAATATACATAAAGAAAATTACTTGAAAATATCTTAAATAACATTTTTTTACGAAAATATTAGTAACTGAGAACACACATCAAAATTACAAAACTTATTTTGTTTTGCAAATGCAAAAAAATAAAGAAAAAAATAAACAATCTATTAATTTTATATTTTATATTAATCGCTGCATACAAATGCAATTTTAATGCATAATAAAAAAATCAATAAATATTTTGTTCTTTAACTACAAGGTACTGCTTGATATTCTAAATGACATATAAGATCTATAACACCAAATACTTTTTTTTATAATTGATAATCAAATATCAAATATTGTTAACTATATGATATAATATTTTTATCATTTGAATCAATCACGATTGTTCATGAGAGTTGAATATTTGTTTCTTCATTTAAATTTCACATTAATGACAAATATTTACAGTTAATTTTAATAACAATATTAAATCAATTTAAATATAAAATAATTGAAAATTAATATTATAATAAAAAACCAGATTTCAGATCTTTATATTAAATTTATATATTAAATCACGAATTTTTATAATTAACGTTTCATTTCTCAAATCGTATATGTAAATTCGCGAATGAAAAAGTTCATTTATAAAAATTGAGTAATAATATACGAAATGCTATCTTAACATTTTCTTGTATGAAATCCTTTATATGTAATACGATAATAATATTATATAATCATTATCTTAAAATTATAGTTTTCTGGTTGTTCTCATACTTCAATTAATCAAATATGTGTATGTGTTTGTTTTTTTGTTTATTGGCAGCACCTTTGACTAATGTTGATTTCATGCAATTGAGATATTGCAATATTTTTATTTCATCTATAGGATATTTTACAGAAACGGGCACTAATTGATTTTTTATTTTTATTATTTATTATATTAAAAATTTATTATTATTAAATATTTTCTTTATATCATATTCTATTAAAATAAATATTCAAAATTAAATGAATATTATAGTGTAATATATAGAAATATTATATACATATTTATGTAAGTTGTCTAATAAAATTTTAGATATTTGCATTTTTTATTTCATATTTATAAAAATAATATTTTCAACTAAATTAAAATGTTTTTTTAAAAATATATTTATTAAATGTATTAATTGTAATTCAAAAAAGAAATGAAAATATTAATGTTAATATAAGTTTATTATAATTATGAATAAATTTAAGAAATTTTAAATAATATAAATTTTTTTCATTCATTAGACACTTACAGATCTTAAATATTTATGTGCTAAATATTTATCTATTTAAAAACATCATTTGAATTATTTTTTATTTTTCTTAGTTTTCTGCCCGCCTCTGCAAAACATTGCAAATTCTTGTATAAGTTAATTAACATCTTGATTAAGTTAACTTTAATATGTATAAATTTCAAATTTATAAAAAAATTAGCAATGATATGAGTTTTATCTATACACGATTACGATCACTGTATAAAAATGCACACACAGAACCACAACCAGAACAATTTTAAATATTTTATATATTCTATTGTTATTATCTTGCAAATATTGTTTCAATTATATCTATTATTTTTTTATTTTACCAGGGTGACCATTATTATCAATGATTATTTTATAAAGGCATTGTTTCACAATTTTACTATACGATTCAAAATAATTTTTGATAAAAAATATAGTAAGAAAAATCAAGTTGTAAAAAATTGTACAGAAAATCTTAAGTTACATAAATCTTAATCTAACATTCTTTAATGATTAACATTTAAATAAATTTACAATATAATATATTGTATCTTTATATAGGAATGAATTTCCATGATTACCAAACAGCAATATAATTAAAACACAGTTAAGAATTCTGTTACAAATTCTATTTTTTAATTTTTAATATTTTTATATATTATAAATATATTCATTTGTATTCATTTTATTCTTATAATTATGGAATAAAAATTTAATAATTACAATGAACTTCTTATATTGTGTTTCAATTTTAAGCACTTTAATATGGTCACCCTTCAAAAAATGTGTTGTACGAGCGACTTTTTTTCTCCTTTTCTCTCTTCCTCTTTCTGCATATATATTTAAAAGTTATATTATTTTTTGTTACTTTCCAGTTTTATATTTCAAAAAAGAATTAAATATTCGTGTTTTAGAAAATACTTTTTCGTTCGTACAACAGTTTCAGTAAAATATTTATTATCGCAATATACATGCTTTATAGCACGAATATATTTTTTATCTATGTCAAATTTTTAAATTTGTTTCTTTGCACTATAAGAGAACAACGTCTATACATTATAAGCTTAATAATAAATATTTTTTCTTTTCATAATGTTTCAAATTGTTACTGCGCTTCAGGCTATATGCAAATATTACTGTACCGGAAGACGGTGTTAATATTGCAAAAATATCAAAATATTTTTAACGGATATATTTTTACATAATCCTGCATATCTAAGAGCTGGAATTGGAATTAACTATCAAACTTTTGAATTAAGTTTCAATAATTTGGTAAAATCTAATTATCATAGTAATTTTAACTTAAAAAGTATTAAAATACATTTTATTGAATAATGATAATTGCAAATTAGAAAAAATTTCATCAATTTAATATTTCAAATCTAAAAGATAAATCTGTTATATTTCATTTTTTCCTCATCTTTTAAAGTTTAGAATGAAATTGTAATTTAATTATTTTAATTTGCCATTAACATTATTATTACATGTTAACAGATTAAATACACTTTTATAAATATAAATTAGTTTTAAGATATAATTATTAATTACTATGAATATCAGTTTTTCCTTTGTTATATTAACAATCAGGTTTGGATGTTGAAACTTTAACAAGATTAACATAAAAACATAAATTATATGTTTCAACCTCCGTCACATCAGAAATGCAGAATCCACAGAAATTAGAAACGTTAACAGATCACATTCATCTTTCGCTGAACATAACTTTTATTACTTTCATAAACATGTTGAAAATGGCACTGATTATAGATTGTATCATGTGCACTTTATTAATTATTTTTCTATTTTTTTTTATTTATTCATGTCTAATTTTTTTCCTGTTAATAATTGAATTAGTTGAATAAATGAAACAAATCATTGATTGTTGAATAATAGATATCAATAGATACTTTTTTTTTTTAAAAAATAATAAGAACACGTAACACAATTTTGTTAACATTATTTTGACACAAGACATTATACATTAAAATATGAGGGTGCAAATGACTGATACATGTTCAATAGAATGAATAAAAAAATAATCTATCTATTTAATCTAGATATTAAAAAATATCTAATT